CCAAAATACGGACGGGGGAGGAAGGGGGTCTGAAGAGGGAGGCGGTGCTTGAGGAAGAAAGGGAAGAGAGGAAGGAGAGACGGGGGGAAGGAGGGAGAGATGGAGGGAAGGAGGGACATAGAGAGAGAGAGAGGGGGGGGGGGGATTTGGCGGTGCTTAAGAAAAGAAAGGGAAGTAGAGGAAGGAGAGCCAGAGAGAGAGAGAGAGAAGAAAAAGAGAGAAAGTCACAAGATAGTGCGGGATGGAAGAAAGTGCAACGAAGGAAGGAACAAATTCCTGAGCGATAAAGAGAGGAAATAAGACTTTTGCGATAACGGAAGAAAGAAGAACGTAAAAAAAGGGGTGAAAGACAGAAAAGAAAGTGTCTGTGATAAGAGAGAATTGTGAAGAGGCGCACACGATGAAAGACGGGGCGCTGTATACGGGAGAAGGGAAGGGGCGTGGTCGAGGAGAGGCAGGGAGGGCGCTGAATAATGGGCCTAAAGGCTTGTGTATACAAAGAAGCGGTGAAGTCAGTATTAATCATTGTAGAGCCAGGAACTTGTGGGCGTGAGGAGAAACTGGGAAAGAAAATAGTTTTTAAAAAGTACCCCGTAGTTGTGTTTATAGTTTGTTGAAAGTACGTTAATTTAAAGAGCGAGTGAATGTTTCTTTAAGTATGTGTTTCTATCATCTCTTGGGTGACATGCGTATACGAGCGATGTCGGGGGGGCGTCGTCAGTTCATTTTACGGGGAGTACTACTTTTTTTTTCTTATGTGTGAGTAGGTGTGTGTGTGTTTGTGAGTGTGAGTGTTGTGTGTGTGTGTGTGTGTGTGTGTGTGTGTGTGTGTGTGTGTGTGTGTGTGTGTGTGTGTGTGTGTGAATTGTGCCAAACGTCTTGGCGGTGATTCCCACATCGGTTGCCTTGATACACCGCTAAAGCTATCCCTACGATCCAATGACTGTTTGTTTGTAGGTCTCCTGAGTTCACGCTTCCACACTCTACGGAACCCGAACCCACGTTTCACTAGCACGGATTCGTAGTGTGCCTTGTACCTTAACCTATTTGCATTCCGTATAGCTTCAACTCTACGGAATTGGACATTACGTTTCATTTGCTCTTCAGTGTACGAACGCTGACGCCGCGTTTGATTAGCATGACATAGAAACTAATTGCCTATTTGCTCTCTTTCATTTATTCAGACTCGACGGACCCTGACGCCACGTTTTGTTGGCTCGTCAGTCTACGGACTCCGATGTCGTGTTTTATCATCATGCCGTTGCGACTCGTTTCCTTTTTATCGGAAAGTATTTGCTCTCCTTGGGTCTTCACACTCCACGGGCCTCGGCGCCACGTTTTATTAGCTCTTCATTGCCATTAAACCTGACATTGTAACATAGCGCCTCGTTGCCGAACCTATTTTTCTTCGCTTACGTCTTCACACTCTACGGACCTCGACGCCACGTTTCAGTAACTTTTCCGTCTCTATAGACAGTAGATCTCGACTCCACGTTTTATTAACTTCAATCTACAGCCCTAGACGCCACGGTTTATGCCCACAGCATTGTGGATTAGTTTCTTATTCCCGTAATTATCTGCTTCCCATACATCGCCACACTCTACGAACCTCGACGCCACGTTTCATTACCATTGCATTATAACTTATTTTCTTATTTCCCGAACCTTTTTGCTTCCCATGCGTCGCCACACTCTACGGACCTGGACGCCACGTTGTATTATCATAGCATTGTGGATTAATTTCTTGTTCCCGTAATTCTTTGCTTCCCATACGTCCCCACACTATGCTGATCCCGACGCCACGTTTCATTATTATAGCATTATAACTTAAGTTCCTCGTTCGCGAACTTTTTGCTTCCCATACATCGCCGCACTCTACGGACATCGACGCCACGTTTCATTACCATAGCATTATAACTTCTTTTCTTGTTCCCGAACCTATTTGCTGCCCATGCGTCGCCACACTCTACGGACCTCGACGCCACGTTTTATTAGCATGGTGGTGTAACTTGGTTCCTTGTCCCCGAACCTATTTGCTCTCCTCGTGTGGCAGAAGGTTAACCTCGGCCTCGTTGTTGATGGAGCCAGTGCCAGGGTAATAACGCTCCCCTGCCAGATGTACGACCCGCCACTAACGTCGCTGGCACGCGAGGAATGAGGGCGAGGAAATAAGAATGGGTGGAAGGGGCAATAATTCAGAAAAAGATATTAGTAATAGAACAGAATGAGAAAGAGACAGAGAGAGAGAAGAGAAAGGGAAGTGGATAAAAGGGGGAAGCTGTGACGTAGGAATAGAATCCGTTGACGTCACTGTTTGTCTCCGCCCTCACTTTAGATTCATTATTAGTATTTTTTCTGTGCTCATGAAGCTGCTGCGGTTATTGTTCTTGCTTTCATCGTTGTCAAGGCTTTATTAACATAGGAGAATTATTACATGTAAAACTGGTAGTAGTAGCTATAGTTGGGGGAATTTTACTCCTCTCCCTTCTCCTCTTTTTCTGCTTCCTCTTTCTCCTTTTCATTTTCCTGTCTCTCCTTCTCCTCGTCCTGCTCCATCTCGAACGCCCTATCTCTTCCTCCTCAGTGTCATCTTCATCCTCCTCCTCCATTTCCTCTTTCTCTTCCTTTTCAACCGCCTCCTCCTCCTCTTCCTTTTCCTCTCCCTCCTCCTTTTCCTCCATCTCCTCTTCCTCCTCCTCATCATCATCATCCTCATCCTTATCCTTTTCCTCCCCTCCTCCTTTTCCTCCTCCTCCTAGTTTTCCTCCTCAATTCTCTCCTCTTCCTCCCTGTTTTATCCCCCGCGTTAGATCTTGATTCAGCAGCACTTAATCAGCATTCCTGATTTTGCCGTCGTCCTCTATACTTTTTGATGTTGCGTGATCAGAACGGAAGCTTTTAATGCCATTAAATTTGTGAGAGAGACAAAGCTTAATTTAAGCTGCGCAAGAGAGAGCCTGGTGGATTTATTATAATGCGTGTGTGTGTGTGTCTGTGTGTTGTATGTGTGTGTTGTGTGTGGTGTGTTTGTGTGTTTGTGTGTTTGTGTGTTGTGTGTTGTGTGTTGTGTGTTGTGTGTTGTGTGTGTGTGTGTGTGTGTGTGTGTGTGTGTGTGTGTGTGTGTGTGTCTGTATTTATGTCTCCGTGTGTTTGTCTATTTGCCTATATCTCTTAGCTATGTGTGCGCATATATGTGTGCGTGTGTCTGTCTATCCGTGTCTGTATTTTGCAAGTGATTATGCTCCGTACTTCATCGCATGTCTCTGATGCTATTATTGCAAACTTTTCCCAAGCAAGAAGCCAAGTTCCGCGCGGCACCAAAGCTCCGGGCGGTTGCACTTGCTTCCGCTGTTTGTCAGAGTTTGGCAGTTGCTTTTTAAGGGGAAGTTTAGGGGCGTAGGGGGAGGGGTAGGAGGGGGTAGGGGATAGGGTGGATTGTGACGGGTGGGAGGGGGAGAGGAGGGTTATGCGTGGGCGAAATTGTGTCTTGGAAATAATTTTTTTTATTTTTTCATTTGTTTTTCGTGTTTCATTTTTGTTTTATTCGTTTCATTAGTTTTTTAGTTTTTGTTTTTTTTTTCTTTCATTTGTTTCTTGTTTTTATGTTCATTTGTTTTCTTTCCATTTATTTTTTTCGCTTTGTCTCGCATCTCCTGGCGGGAAAGAAGCATTTTTCGTTATCGAGATTCTGTCGCATCATTCTCTTTTTCATGAATGAGTGATTATGTTACCTATTTTATTTTCATGAACCACTAATGTGTGTGTGTGTGTGTGTGTATTTGTGTACGTGCTTGCCTGCATCTGTAAGTGTGTGTATTGGTGTACGTGCGTGCGTGCATGTATATGTGTATTTGTGTACGTGTGTGTGTGCATGTGTGTGTATGTATCTGTGTACGTGCGTGCGTGCGTGCATATATGTACATGTACCTGTGTGCGTGCGTGCAATCGGTTCCCCTCGAGCGCCGCCCGCCCTTCGCCATTCCCGCAGCCTCGTTCCGCCGCACCCGCTTCTTCCGCCCAATTATCCCGGAGCGAAATTTGCGAAGTGCAATACGACGCGCTAATGATCCCCAATGAGCCTCAATATATTCGCTTATTACCTCGAAAAGCCTCGTTGATGGCCTCTGTTTCCTTGCTCGTTGCACCTGGTGTAGGTAGGGCGATTGCGCTGCAGGGAGCGGGAGGCACACCGGCGCGGCGCCCACGTTGGAAGGGTCACGTGGTATGCTGTTAATTGCTTTTTCTTGTCTTGGTCTTTGTTGCTTTTTGTGTCTGGGGTTTTTTCTTTTTTTTTTTTGTTTTTTTTTCTTGTTTATGCTTTCTCTATCTCTTCTATGCTTTCTCTCTATATATATCCATTTCTCTCTCTCTCTCTCTCTCTCTCTCTCTCTCTCTCTCTCTCTCTCTCTCTCTCTCTCTCTCTCTCTCTCTCTCTCTCTCTCTCTTTCTCTTTCTCTTTCTCTTTCTCCTCTTCTCCTCTCCCCTCCCCTTCTCCCCTCTCCCTCTCCCTCTCCCTCTCCCTCTCCTCTCTCCTCTCTCTCTCTCTCTCTCTCTCTCTCTCTCTCTCTCTCTCTCTTCCTCTACTCCACTCTCTCTCATAATAAATAATGGAGAAAATTCCGGCAATTAGCTGAGCACTGAAAAATTTAGGCTTAATGATCGCCTCTTTCAGCGCTGTTTTTTTCTTCGGTTATCAGAACATTTTATTTAATTACTTTACTGATTACGTTTATGATTATTATGTTTTGTATCCTTATCTTGGGTATTTCTCATGCCATAAAGAAGAGTAATTGATTTTGAAGTTTCTCAGTTTTACAGCTGATATCATCCCACTTCGTTGTGCACCTTCACCCATCTTCCATTCCATCACGTCCCATCTGATCGCGTACGGCATGCGCAGGGAGTGACGGCCTCACCCCGTCTGCGTGAGGCGGCCGGGGAGGGGCATGTCACGGGGGTGAACGTCATCTTCCCCTTTAATAGCTTTCGTAATGTTTCAGGTTGTGTGCGATCCCCAGTGTTGACGTGACAGCGGCATCATGGCGGTCGAGGTTCCAGCAGCGTGCGTAGCCCCGGCATCATGGTGGTGCTGTGCGGCCGCCTCGAGGTGGTAGTGGTCGAGGCGTGCGACCTACCCAACCTCGACCAGAACGTGCTGCGGCCGGAGGACAAGAGCGACCCCTACTGCGTGGTGGAGGTGCAAGGAGGCAGCGGCAGCCTGCATAAAGTCGGAAAAACTTTCACCATAGACGATTGCCTCAACCCCAAGTGGTATTACAAAGTGTCAGCGGACATCAGCCAGGACGTCGCTGGCCTTAGATTCACAGTGAAAGATAAAGACTTGTTATCTTCCGAAACAATCGGCAGTTGCTTCCTGCCTGTGCATACCTTCATAGACAACAGTGCGCCCCATGAGGCAGAACTTGCGCTAGTGAACAGTAAAGGTTTCCAAGCCGGGACGCTCAAGGTCACCGCTTCCTTTGTGTACGACAGAAACCAGCCGGGTGTGACCTTAGGTGACCGAGCGTGGAACAAGGCGAGTGAACTGAGAGACCGAGTGTCGAGAAAGCTCCCCAAGTACGGTGACTCTTACGACTCGATAAGCTCGTTCGGCGAAATGGCGTTCCTGCACGGCATCCTCGACCTGAAGCTGGAGCGGGCCAACAACCTGCCCAACCTGGACAGCTCCATCCTCAGCCTCAGCAAGAAGGACGTCTCGGACCCCTTCGTGGTGGTGTCGCTGGAGGACGTGGACGGCGAGCCCTGGAAGATCGCCACCACGCATGTCATCGACAACAACCTCAACCCCGTGTGGGAGGAGAACTTCCGCGTGGACATCTGCCACGACGTGGCCTCCATCACCTTCACCGTCCGGGACAAGGACTTCCTCTCCTCCGAGCAGATCGGCTCCGTCTCCTTCCCCG